AATTCTATCACAGATAAAATTCTGGAAGGGGAGTAAGGTGGCGTAACTACCACTACAAATATTAAATACAAAATCACTAGTAAAGCACGTTAACTTGATTCTATCTTGAGGTACCTTGTGATAGTCGATAGTTGGCATAGTCGATAATTAAATCCTTTCAAATCAAATAATTAATTGGTACTTATAATTAAAATTGTTTAGTCAAAAGGTATTTTCTTTCATGCGTAAATAAAAAGATTATTATTTACACATCCGTTCATTTCTTAATCTCAACGAAAAAACAACATTCAGAATCCAAATTTTTTAATCCACAGTTTTTAGCTAATATTAGAATTTACTAACTTTTAACTAATACTAGAATAATATTACTTATACTGTATAATATTATACGTATACCAGCTATCTGTCATATTATAATATTTATAAAATTTTTAAATAAGATGGCAAAAATAGTAGATTTGGTTAATATATATAGTTGGCGTAAAAACTTAAAATTGTATCACAATGTACTTTCCTTCATGTTATGATAATGCTTTATGTTATGATAATGCTTTATGTTATGATAATGCTTTATGATATAGTATATTTCTTTATGATATAGCATATATGATATAGTATAGTACAGATCACTAGGCGAAGATTCCCAGCTAGTTTTCGTTTGAAACATAATAAATATTTCTTTTTATAACAAGTATTTGTGATTAATTTCCTCAAAACAGTTAAAATAAAAGTTTCAACTTAACTTTTAACATGTGCATTATAGAAAATATGTTTACATACAATTGCTTAATATATGTCGTAAGCAAATTGGAAAATTTTGGCTCCCTGAAAATACCTTCGACATTTTGTATTGCGCCTGGCTAATTGGAAAAATCTCCTGAATTTTCGAAACAGTCTGATATTTTAAGCCCATTATAATTTACCCATATCCTTTTAGTATAGTTATATTATCCATATCTTTTACGTTATATAATTTATAGTTATATTATCCATATCCATAATAGATAATTATCCATATCCATTTACCCTTTAGAACATATTTTTCAAGCTTATTATAATTAGCCCATATCCCTTAAGTTAAAAATGCTTGAAAATTACTTATTTAACCTGAATTTACTTAGGCTTACTCTAATGAACCTTATCTTCTACAAGTGCTATGAGTATAGAAATTTGAAAATTAACTCAAAATTTATTGTTAATTAATTATAAAAAAAAAACATGCTACAACAGAATACTTAATTTTTTTAAAAATAAAAATTGCGTTTTTAAATCGTGATTTCTTAAAATTTGCACAATTTTTATATTTTTATTTATTTGATTTCTAGATTTTAACATTAAAATTCGCCTTAAAGCATAAATTTTTTACCTGAAATTTTCCATCAGTAAACTACTTTTTAATTGAATTAAATATTTTTTGATGAATGCAATTAGTTTCAAGAATACTACCGAAATCATGAGATTAAAAAAATAAAAACAACAACATCGAGAGCTTCAAAATTTCAACTTACTTCTGAATGCATATTATGTTTATTTCTTGAAGCATATGATATTCTCTGATTTGACCAATTGTAAATGAGCTTATTGCAATGAGCCTAAAAACTGTGAAGCTGATTAAAAAATACTGAAGACTTTTTCAATTTACCTGGCGTGTTGCAAATTATCGTCGGTTGTTTGCAAAGAACCGGATCATTTATTTAGCTTACGACACGTCTATANCCGTGAAGATTAAGTCCTAAAACGTGAAGATCCGATCATAAGATCAAAAGTTATTCAGGGTAATCAGCTTATTATTTTTTTACACACTGTACTTCAATTGTATTCTTAAATCAGTTACTATTTCCAAATTTCTACTACAGTTGAAGAAGAAAAAAATATTTTTATCACTATATACGTTAAATCTATTCGTCACTATTTCTGTATTATCAGGGCAAGGTATATCGTTTATCATTTTTTTCCTCTTTTATAATTAATTATTTTAATTTAAAAATTCTGACTATTATTACAAAAATAATAAAAAATAATCTGTAAATTATATACCACTTAATTTTAATTAAAATACCTTATTTGTATTTAAAATTATGATTTATATTGATTATTTATATTTAAAATTATAGTTTTATAGTGGAGTAACTACCACTAAAAATTAATATCAATTCCCTACTATATAAGACATGTTAACGTTATTTTATCTCGAGGTACCTTTTGATTGATGAAGGTTGTCATGGTCGTTTAAAACATACTCCACAGCATCTTTTTTTCATATAATGACCTAAATTAAAAATGTGATATTAAAGTTATTTTTAAACTATCACCACACTATCATCGTTTGAATCAAAATATGCTATCCGAAATAATTTTTCATAGAAATTAAAATAATAATTTTTTATTTAAATTGATTTTTGTAACAGTTAAAAAAAAGAATAAAGAATAATAGTGAAAGAGTAAAAGCATATTCATGTTGTAACAAACAATAAAAACCTAAAAACAATTCTGACAAACAAATTAAACTATGATATAAACCCATTTTTATTAATAACTAATTTATTTTTTTTAACTTATACTATAGATACTTTTAAATTATTTTTTAAAACTTATACTATATGTGCTTTTAATTTATTTACTTTGTAACTTTTTTAATCAACTCTAAGTTTATACAACTTTATAATATGTACTTTTACTTGATTAATATATCTATAATTAAAATTTTAAAAAAAACATTAAATCGTCAAATGGAAAAATTCCTCTTAATACTACAGTCTTAAAACTGACTGTAGCCATATTATTATTTTTGTTTAAAATATGTAATAGTTACTACTAATGCTTTGCTTAACCAATATAAATGTTAATGAAGAAACCATTTCAAATGATACTGGGTACTTAGAAGTTAAAGTAGAATCACTGAAATCGTTTGCAGATTACGTAAAATTTGTAAACTGTTGTAAATCTGTGGTGTAACTACCACTTTAAATATTAAATACCAATTCACTAGTATATAAAGCACGATAACTTGACTTTAACATGAGGTACCTTTTGGTAGATGAAATTAAATCCCTCCAATGGTGACCTGCGAACGTGATATGAACTTGCTAACATTGATGGACGGTCCACATTAAACAGTTGATATGCTTAAAATATAGCGCTCAAAAAACAAAAAAAAATCTGGTGAAGTAAATGAAAGTTTCCCGGTCAATAAACAAAATTGAAGAAAAAAATGAACGGAATGATATAAAAAATTAAGAAAATAATGAGCAAATATGATTAAAAAAATCAGCTTAAATAAACTAGTGGTATTCGTTCATCGAACTCTATCACAGATAAAATTCTGGAAGGGGAGTACTGTGGCGTAACTACCACTACAAATATTAAATACCAAATCACTAGTATATAACACATGCTAACTAGATTATATTTTGAGGTACCTTTTGATAGTCGATAATTAAATCCCTTCAAATCAAATAACTAATATGTATACTTATAATTAAAATTGTTTAGTCAAAAGGTATTTTTTTTCATACGTAAAAAAAAGATTATTATTTACACATCCGTTTATTTCTTAATCTCAACGAAAAAACAACATTCAGAATCCAAATTTTTTAATTCACAGTTTTTAACTAATATTAGAATTTACTAACTTTCAACTAATACTAGAATAATATTACTTATACTATGTAATATTACCTATACCTGCTATCTATCATATTAATAGTATTTATAAAAATTTTTAATAAGATAACAAAAATAGTAGGTTTGGTTAATATCTATAGTTGGCAATAAAACTTAAAATTGTATCACAATGTACTTTCCTTTATGTTATGGTAATGCTTTATGGTATAGTATATTTAACTAAAAGTTAGACCGTTTAAGTATTGTATTAGAAAACTATAGTTTGCATATTTTTAAGCATGATCATTTTTTAGAAGTTTTGTATCGATTATCATGCATATTGCTTTAATAGAATTGTTCAGTCTTGGTTTGCTCAACCATTTACAAGGTGAGTATAGAGGAGATTTCCGTATCGTGATCTGTGACACAATAATCGCCAAGTCTTGTCCATTTCCGGGCAGTGGCCTACAGCAAATTTTTTTTTCTTTAAAAAAATTGCAGAAGGGTTTTATTAGGTAGACATTACTCTTAGCCATCCACTGGCAAACCTCTGTATGTTATTTATTTAATTTCTTTTAGTTGCAAGTTTAAAATCTATTTGGCGCCTCTGCGATTGTAGTTGGCGCGACAGATCACGAGGCGAAGATACCCAGCGAGTTTTCGTTTGAAACATAATAAATATTTCTTTTTATAACAAGTATTTGTGATTAATTTCCTCAAAGCAGTTAAAATAAAAGTTTTAACTTAGCTTTTAACATGTGCATTATAGAAAATATGTTTACATATAATTGCTTAATATATGTCGTAAGCAAATTTGAAAATTTTGGCTCCCTGAAAATACCTTTGACATTTTGTATTGCGTCTGGCTAATTGAAAAAATCTCCTGTATTTTCGAATCAGTCTGATATTTTAAGCCCATTATAATTAACCCATATCCTTTTAGTACAGTTATATTATCCATATCCTCTATGTTATATAATTTATAGTTATATTATACATATCCATAATAGTATAATTATCCATATCCTTTTATCCTTTAGTCCATATTTTTTAAGCTCATTATAATTAGCCCAATGCTCATTATAATTAGCTCAAGGTCATTATAATTAGCAATTAGCTCATTATAATTAGCTCCTTAAGTTAAAAATGTGTAAAAATTACTCATTTAATCTGAATTTACTGAGGCTTACTCTAATGAACCTTATCTTCTACAAGTGCTATGAGTATAGAAATTTGAAAATTAACTCAAAATTTATTGTTAATTAATTATAAAAAAAAAACATGCTACAACAGAATACTTAATTTTTTTAAAAATAAAAATTGCGTTTTTAAATCGTGATTTCTTAAAATTTGCACAATTTTTATATTTTTATTTATTTGATTTCTAGATTTTAACATTAAAATTCGCCTTAAAGCATAAATTTTTTACCTGAAATTTTCCATCAGTAAACTACTTTTTAATTGAATTAAATATTTTTTGATGAATGCAATTAGTTTCAAGAATACTACCGAAATCATGAGATTAAAAAAATAAAAACAACAACATCGAGAGCTTCAAAATTTCAACTTACTTCTGAATGCATATTATGTTTATTTCTTGAAGCATATGATATTCTCTGATTTGACCAATTGTAAATGAGCTTATTGCAATGAGCCTAAAAACTGTGAAGCTGATTAAAAAATACTGAAGACTTTTTCAATTTACCTGGCGTGTTGCAAATTATCGTCGGTTGTTTGCAAAGAACCGGATCATTTATTTAGCTTACGACGTCCACATTTTCGAACTAAAATATTAAACAAATTATATGAATCATCCAACAAACACTTATAAGTACTACTCCCTTGCTAGGTTATCCTCAAATGTGCTTTTGACATTAAATTTTTTACTAAAACGATATTTTATAGTATACTCTAATAGTTCAATTATTAAGGTGTGATTATTCTCTTTCAATGCCTTCAATTCATTAGTGTCCTCAAAATAGCTAAAATAGCAACTAATATAATTCATAACATAGTCTTTCAAACCACTATCGTACAAATCGGCAACTGTTAACATTTCCAGGGCGTTGTCAGCTGTCAAACTAGACTTTAAGTATTCCACACAAATTCTAACTAATCCGGAAATCTCATACTTATCACCCACAAACAAGAGATCACAAGCCGTTTCGTAATCTAAATCTGTCACCTGACTGCTGTACAAGAATTTCAGCATTTTTTGTAAAACGGGTAACTTCACGTCCGTTAGCACCAGTTCGTTACCTTCGCCTTCGACCATACTGGATTTGAACATGGCTGCGAAAATAGGCGACCTCGCCGACATGACGTTCTTGTGAGCAAGAATTTCTGAAGAATCACATTTTATAGTCACATCTGAAAACGTACCTTCTTCTAACAGAGACAAAAAATCATAAGACAATTGCGCTAACGGATTGTTCTGTATGATGTGTATCTCCGATGAATTAACTTCACCCCCAGTGTTGACCACAACATCGTCAGAATGTGAAATGGACACATTACCTTGGACACACAGTTTCGAGTTTTCGAAAACTATATAAGAAAATTCAGACATTGTTAAGTCCAGTGGTATAGGCAAAGTAGAATCGCCATCAGCTAGATAATTGTTAAAGTCCGTCTTGCTTAACCGTTTGTGCGTGGTCAGGTCGTACAGGGAAACGGTGCCTTCAATTTCGACTGCCCCATCACTGTTGCTTCTTTCCAGCAACAGAATGGCATTTTCTTGCTGACCATAAAACGATTGGTCATATATTTTAGTATGTTCGAACTGCAATAGCCATTCCGTATCTGCCGCAGTACCTAAATGGAATTTCGATACCTTGATAACAGTGCTCGGTGGTTCGTAAGGCAAAACGGGATTTTCTCCATTTCCATACAATGTTCGAATTCTACTCAATTCTAAGTCAACGGTCCATGAAAAAGGTATATCTCCCATTTTTGCTGCTCGGAATGATCACCGAAGAGAAATTTAAACCGAATCTGATGTGAAATTGAAACGAACGCTGTTAAAATGTTTCAGTGAATGACGAAATTATTCTAATCTGGAAAAGTAAACAGTGATTATTTCCTTTAAAGGGACGGGACAGTGAACTTGGCATCTTTCCCAGTTTCTCTTTTTATCTTTTTTATCGCGTTTCAATTTCGGAAGTTACGACCTTGCTTTTTTTATGAAAATAATATTCCTAACTGTCCTAACGGAGTAGTTTCACTTTCACTTGACTGTTATTTTTCGCGATTTCAATTAAATAATTATAGAGTTGAGATGAATGGAAAGATCTTTTCTTTAGTCTAACTTTTTGCTCCTCTATTTTACGCACGAATAACATAAAAAAATACTTAAAGAAACTTTCCTTGTTACTGAGGAATGCGCAAGCAACAAAAATTATTAGATTTATTTCAAGCTCCTTATTTATTTCAAGTGTTATTTACATAACAAAGTTGGAAAGGTAACTGATAACGTGGAAATAAGTCTGTATCAATTCGTTGCTTTTATTTTGAGAATCGTCAGTTGCTGAGCAATTAAGTTCTGGAATAAACATTCTATGGCAACGGTTCCCGAATGGTGTTCTGTGGAACCCCAGAGTTCCGTGGAAGGTTCACATGGATTCCGAGACGTGGAAATGTTTTTAAACCAGTTATGACTTTCGAAACTTGTACTTACATTTATATCTAATTATTAGTCCATTACTTATATAATATTTCCGCTACTTTTATGAAATCGTTTAATTGAAATGTTTGTGAAAATAAAAATTTCAAAACATTGTTTTTCTAATAATATAATGAATGAATTATAAAAAGGATATGTATGTATGAAAAATTCGATTAGTATTCCGCATAAATTAAAAATAACCAAATTCAACAATGCCAAAGCATGTTTGCCTGATAACCATTCTAGACATTCCATTTTTTTATTTTATTTTATTGGAAAACATATTTCAGCTCATTTATTTTTAGTTTATGCACGCATTAAAACCAAATTAAAAATCAGACTAGATGCCTCTCCAGACTTGCGAATTCAACTAACTACTTGACGTGAAACTCAATGTAAAGACTAAAATTGATAAAACGATATGATGTAAAACTTTCCTTCAAAAATTATTTTCAAAATAATCAATAAAATTTAGATTAATACAAATTCTGAAAAATATTTAAAGCCTTTCTTTAATTTATGAGTACATAATTGCTAAAGAAATTTATTTATTAAGCTTCCGGGTTCGACCAAAAGAAAGTCGATCATTTAGGGTTCCACTACCACAAAATTGGGAACCGGTGCTCTCTGGAGCTACGTTACCAGCAGGGCGCAGAGGCGCCAGGATGGGTAATCACGGAAGGTCACTGTGATCTCCCAAATATTATCACTATTCGGCAAATTTTGTCAGCGAAGTCGACACATTAATGAGATTTCTTTTCCTTTATTTCTCAAGAAAACCCAAATAAAGTTATTCAATATTACACCTTTATTTAACTTTTTCATATAAACATAAAAATTTGAAGAAAAAAAAATATTTCAGGAATCTACATCACAATTCTTATATCAACCTCAACTAATACATTCATCTTTGTCACCCAAAAGCTTATTTTTCAATCAATTGTCATGGAGCTCCAATTACCAATTACAAACGAGCTACTTTCATCAGAACTTCAGAACCTCGTCTTCATAAATCTCTTTTCAATGTTTTATAAAGAGAAAACTGAAAGAAGTGTAACAGTGAATAATTGATTACCACTTCCCGACATAAACAAACGGGCGCAAAATTGAAAAGAATAAAATATAATATTCACAAACACCTTATGCTAAAAAATACACTAAACTAACTTAATACTTAACTAAAAGCAAACCTTTCGTCAGAGCCTTGTCTGCTCAGGGAATAGAGCTTTCGCATTCCAATGAGGTGAACCGGGTTCGAATCCCAGTGATGGCTGGTAGATACGAATTCCCCATCCGGCTTGCACTGACCACAAGGCTGACTTCAAATATCTACAGTGGTAGACAGATCCTGGGTTGGCCGTCATTAGCCCATGGGTTACCCCCCTTGCCGTCAGTCTAACAGCGGGAGGTTTTAGTGGTTTTCCACACCGTGTAACTCAAATGCGGGTTAGTTCAAATCTAAATTTTCTAAATCAAAGAAATTTTAATGAGGAATAACTGTTTCCCTTAAATCTATATTACTACAAATAAGTGCATATTTGAAAAATTATTGTTTGGCGGTGAGTTGTGTTTGAAAGATTCAACCTTTCACGCAGAAAAAAAGACACCGGCGTTTCATGCTGTATTTCATAACCATTAATTATTAAAATGCTAAATATAATATTTTTCACTTATTTTGACATAAATTCATACAAAATAATAAATGAGCAATATGTGTGAATGAAAAATATGTTTGTTATATGTTGTTCATATGAAAAATATGATTAGTAAAAATTCTGAGCTTAAAGGGTTAATCCAACTCAAATTGTTTGGGTACAAGGTACTACCAACCATTTATAGTTATTCATTGCAATTATTTGTAACTTAAGTATTGTTGTTTGACAAGCTAAATTAATTTCAATTTATTTATTAATATATTATATTTCATTATATTAATATAGTTATAGATTAATGTAATTTATTTTATCACATAAATTGTTTTATTATATTAAGATATTAAATATATTTATTAAATCAATTATTTTATTTTATTATAAAATTTATTAATATGAATTAATATTATTTTTTAAATTTATTAGTTTTTTAATAAATTTATTATTTAATTAAATTTATTAATATGAATAAATTTAAATTTATGTTTCTTTTAACAATGACGAATTCTTTCAGAAAACTCTGGCTTTTTACTGAGAGTAGAAATGAGAGGTATTTACAGTTTTATTAAATTTTATAATACTATTTAGTATTCACGGTAACAAAACTTTTATTAATTTCAGATATATTTAATTTATTAATTTATTTAATTTAATTATTTATTTAATTTATTGATTTATTTAATTTATTAATTCATTTAATTTACTAATTTAATGATAATTTAATATAATGGTTATTAATTATTATAATAAATATTAATAATTTAATTTATTATTATTTAATCTACTATTATTATTTAATTTATTAATTTTCTTATATATTTAATTCATTAATATTATTCAGTTCAATGTAAATAATGTGGTTTCAAAAATTAAATAGCTGTAAAAAGCCGTTAGATTATTCCGAATCTTTCGTATAGCATTTCTCCCCTATCTTCTTAAATTGCAAAAAATAGTCTTCTCTGCACGTTCATTTTCCATAAGGAGACGATTAAAGTGTCTTTTTTTCAGTTAAGAAATAGCATTCCCTGATAACACACACTTGTCGGAAAGAGGCTTTTCTCACAGCAAGTCAGTTCATGGTTTATGAGGCCTAATCTACCATCATGGAGCGTCGGCTTTGTCTCTAATGATTCTTAAAAATGGATATAAACGATCTCGTTTCTTTTTTGATTAATTCACTCATGGCTTGAGGGAAAAGCTGACCTTTTTGATCATTAGTTTTCTGTACTTTCGAGCCACATTGATAACACCTTTGCTATTGGCATTCAAGAGGACATTAAAATAGCTTCAAGTTCCAGAAATACTATGCCCGAGTCTTTATTTATTGCATCATCTAGATGGGAGAGATTCGCCGGTTTCAAAGAAGAAATTTTTGTTCTGGTATGGCTGGTTCTGGAGGATGAACCAGTTCTGAGAAGAAGAAAAAAAAACGAATTTAATTTAAAGGAAAGTTGAAGTCGGTACATAGTCTTATAATAACACTAACTCACAAATGATAAGTTAAATGTAAAACCTTATCCTACCAGGAAACTTTAATTAACCTTCCACTGTAAAGTGGTGGAGAGTTTAATTATTCGCAGTTTCTATTTCTTCTTCAGTTTTTCATCAACAAAAGTAGGGTAAATGTTTATAGATTTGAACCACTTTTTTTATCTGTAATGTAACTGTTAGAAAATTTGGACATAGCATCATTCAAATTTAATTCAAAGATGCTAAATTGTACCATACTATCATAATACTTAAACTTGATTACACTGTAATGGTTCAATTAGTCCGAAATACTAACCTGTTTGGGAGGTTGCTACAAATGTATGATATTAGGATTCAAGAAAAGTTTTTTTTTTTTTTTAACTTTACGCGGAATTTTTTAAATATTTATAGGGGAAAGTATTGTATCTTTATCGATTTTGTCGTTTTGCTCTTTTATGCAAAATGCAGTTATTCAAATAACTTAGAAATTTGTGAGAAATTCATAGATGATATTAGGATTCAAGATACCTAATTTTTTTACTTAACTTTGCCCCGATTTCTTTAAATATTCATAAAGAAAATTATTGTTACCTTGGATCGATTTTGTCTATTTATTTATTTATTTTCAAAATATAATTATTCATATAACTTAGAAATTTGTTAGAAATTCATATATTATATTAGTCTATAAATACAAACCCTTCATGGGTGAATACTGTCAGGCTTTTCTAATATTTTTTTTCTTCCTTTTTCCAATTATCACAAAAAACAAATGTAGCTACAAAGGAAGGTGGAAATGTACGAGACACGCAGTTAGAATGTCAAGAGGAAAATTAACACATATTTTTCATTCTTGGGCCTCTGATGGAAAAAAAGGGAAAGACCGAAAAGGACTTGGGAGAAACAAATAAAGGGAGATTTTAAAAGAGCAATATTTAAGGATTAGGGGAAGTCAGATCTCAAGGAGTCTTAGGCTGAATACCTTATGGGCCAAACAGAGTGGAGAGCGTAGGTATAGTTCGTTCACCAGGAGTTGGCACTTGGCTCCACCTCTTCGGACGCAGAGTTCATTTCAGCGCGAGAGTAAAAAGAGAAACATCTCCGCTCTTGAAATTGAGACAACCCTTAATGCGCGCCAAACACAAAATTGAATTTTTTCCAGTCACTTACTTCGCTTTATCATCTGCTATTGTACCTTTCGTTTCTCTAGATAGTTAAACATATTTTAAATTTAAAAACTGCTGTTTATCCCAGGACAAACTATGTCTCAAAAAGTACAAACTATTCACTCAAAAGAGAGAAATACCATAAAAAATG